CCAGCACCCAGGCAGGAGGCAGGGAGCAGCAGAAGCGGGAGGAGGACGAGGAGGAGGAGGAGCCGTCGCAGGATGAAGGATCGGACTCAGGAGCTGCGGAGTGTGAGCTTGGGGATGGGGGGATGGGGGGGCGGGACCCCAATATTTGGGGAGCGCGTGGGGGTGGAGTGGGGGAGGTGTGGGACTTCGGGGCAAATGATGAGACTGGAGGTTGGTGGCAGGGGCACACTGAAACCTGGAGGCACCTCATGTCTCAGTAAACCTTTGGGGACAGTGACTGGAAGGGGTTGGAGGCCATTAAGACACAAGGTGGCAGGAGAGGTCTTGGGGCCTTGGACACCCAACATTCTCTGAAGGGCCCTGGGGTCTGATCTGGGCATGGGAGAGAAGGAATGTCAAGAGAGAACTGGAGGGTACTGTCCTTCCCTGGGCAGATTTGCTGAAATAGCAGGATGGGGGCGGTTACTGGGCCAGGCTGAGTCTAGCAGGACCCAGATTTGGGGATGCGGTGGGGAAGGACACAGGTTGGGACTGAGATCTTCACACCTGGCAGTGAATGGAGAGAGACTGTGTGTACGTGTGTTGCTCCCCACGGGGAGGGGGCACCGCTCAGAGGCCAGGAGGAAAGGGTGGCCTCCCGAGACAGCCAGCAGAGGTTTGGGGCCTGAGGTGGGGTGACCCCGAGGTGGGAGATGGGGGCAAAGGAGGCTGGGCTAGGAGGTTTCACATACTGGGGTCCGTGGAATTGTGTGTGTGGTGTGACCAGGACTGTTCTCTGCTGGGGGGATCTGGGGCATCCTGGACTGTGGGGTGGGCTGACATGTCCCTGATCTGCAGGCCGAGAGGCCCAGTTCCAGGAGTCTGCCCGGTTAGTTGTGGTGGGTGACTGGGGAGGAGGGCGGCACCTGTGTCTCCAGGGCAGGCTGTTTGCAAAGGCTATGGAGTGGGACTGAGGAGGCGGTTCCTGGAGCAGGGAGGAGGCTAGGGCACTGGGAGGAATGACCCCAGGCCCAAGGTGGCCAGCAGACTGCCTGAGTGCTCCTGGCCGGAAGTGTCATGTTAATGAAGCGCCAGCCCCAGTCACTACTGATAGGCTGGGTCTTCACCAGAGCCTGTTGGTTGTTAGTTGGGGTCATTACCCCATTTGATAGATGAGGAAACTGAGGTTCAGAGACAGACAGGAACTTACCCAAGGTCACCAGGGAAGTGAGTGGAAAGACCTGCCTGCAACCTGGGCCTCCCACCTCCCCTGTTCCTGTGTGTCTTTGTTTCTTTTTGCCTTTGAAACAGGAGTCTCAATGCTGGAGGGAAAGAATCCCCTGCATTTGGGGTGGAGGGAAGGGGAAGGTGATGAGTGACAATTGTCTCGGGGAGATATGGTTTGGCAAATAGGAAAGAAGGAGGAATTCATGGTTGAGGGAGGGAATTTTGAAGGTTTATTTCAGTATTAAAGTTTTACTGAATATACACTCAGGCATGACAATAATAAAAATAACCAACAGTGCCAGACACTATTCTAAGTGTTTTTTATACATGGTAACTCACTGCAACCTGATGATGAGGTTGTGACCAGTATTACCCCATTTTATGGATAAGGAAATTGAGGCCGAAGGGGGCCCTTGACCAAAGTTACTTACTACTTAGAGATAGGCAAGCACCAGCATTGTGCTCAAAACACTCCTCCTCTCATGAGCTGATTTTAAAAGCATGTTGCCACCCATAGCTTCATTAGACCCTTAGTGACCTCTCGGTTTGGTAGGTAGACTGAGAGACTGACTGAGGAATAATTGAGGAAACTTAGGCCCAGAGTGGTTACATATGTCGGCCACACAGCTAGCGAGTAAGACCCAGACTAGAAGCCGGGTCTCCTGATGCCAGACCATTCCATGACTCCAAAACCCAGAGAAATGGCAGTGGGTTGGGGTGAGGTGGTGGTGGAGTGGTGGCATGGGGGTGGGGGCAGGGCATGGGAGGCCTCTCATCTGAGTGGGTCAGAGCCCCTGCCTGCTGGAGCTGCTTTGGGCAGCCTGGTGGGGGAGACAGGAGGTGGCATGGAGGGGTGAAGGGGGCTGAGCACAGGCTGATGGCTTGAGTGTTAGTCATAGCTCAGGGAAACTGAAGATTTTGGGAGGGGGCGGGTTGGGAGGAAAGGAGCTGCCAGATGCAGGGAGCGCGGAGCACAGGGTCTCGCCCAGAGTTGGAGCAGAGGCTGGAGGGACCAGGTGGGGTGTGGGAGGCTGGGGAAAAGGGCTTCTGAGAGGCAGGCAGTGAAGCAGGGGCCATGATGGGAGGGATGTCAGTCCAGGGGCCTGGTTGTCTATCTGACAACACCTAGGGGCTCCCCAGGGCTCTGAGGTCTGTTTACCACATGGGGTCGAGGGCACAGATCTGGGAGTCAGGCGGTCTGGAGTCAGGTCCCAGCTTTTCTTCCTCTAGGCCTTGGGTCAGCTGCCCATCATCCCTGCTTTGTGATTTCTTCCTGTAGGACTGGAGTGATGCTAGAACCTGCTTCTCGGGGCTGTCTGAGGATTGCAGTTAGGCAACTGCAGTGAAATTGGGCCTGGCAGGGGCTCCGCACCTGTTTCTTACTCTTGTTTATCTCTCTTGAGCCTCACTTCACCCCCAGAGATGGGTAGGATGTGACTACTTCATTTTGGAATAAACCAAGAGTCAGAGAGGTAACCAGACTCCCCCAAGGTCACATCGCTATTAATGGCAGAGTTGAGGTTGAACCCCACTTTCTCACTCCAGGTGACCAGGCACCTTTGTTTGGGGACTGGGAGGTACTGGGCTGGAGTGGACACTGCGGTGGAAGCTCATCAGCTGGGTTGTCTCAAGGCCCAAGGAAGGGGCCAGGGGTGGGACTCAAGAGGAGAGGAAGGGGAGCAGGTGGGTTGGAGAGGGAGGTTGTAGGAGGAAGGAGGCAAAGGAGATACTGTGGGCTGGGGCCTAGGAGGTGGCTGTGGGAGTGGGAAGCAGGGGGCTGGGGAGACGGGGACATGGAGGAAGGGGAGGCTGTGGGGATGGGGCTGCCATGAGGCAAGCCAAGCAGCCTGAAGGCAAGCCTGAGTCCTGGGTCCTGGGGGACAGGCCCAGTAGGAGCTTCAGAAATACAGGCCTGACGCTACTGAGGGAAAGAGGGGCCTGGTGTGAGAGAGCTCGAGAAGGGACCCAGAGGACCCTGGGCGACCCCAGCTGCTGGGCTTGTTCCTGCCATTCAGACCCACTGAGGTCCCCGCCCAAGGGCCTTTACCCTGTTGCCTCTTGCCTGAATGGCAGGCGGTCTGTTTGCAGCTGTTCCTTCTGCCTGGACCACTGTCCCCCTGCCTTGCTTTCTCTAGCCCCAGATGGTGGCACAGTTGACTCCTTCAGGACACAGCTGAAATGTCACCCCGCCCCAGAGGCCCTCGCCGACCCTCAGGAGAAGCCTCCCCTGATAGGGGTTCCTCGCTGTCCCATCTCCTGTCCTCTCTCCCCGCTAGTGAGCACAATCAGAACTTTCGTCTTTCCCTGAGCGTCGTCTGGCCCCCCGCCCCCTTCCCCGACTGTCAGCTCCATGGAGGCAGGCCCTTCCTCCTGTCCGGTTCACCGCTGTCCTCACAGCAGCGCCCAGAAGAACCATACCTGTCCTCACAGCAGCGCTTGGAACGAACCATACCTGTTAGATGAGGGAATGACTCAGTGGGCAGCAGGCCGGTGGTGGAGGTGCGCTGGGAGGGAGGAGGGACCGGGTCAGAGACAGATGGACAGAAGCGCGGGGTGCAGCAGAGCGAGCTGCCGCCTCGAGATCACATGTGCTCGCATCCCTGCGGAACACGGCAAGCCAGTGCGGGCTGTGTGCAGGGCACGTGTGTGTTTACCACACACACACTCTGATATCTTTATCACCCGATCCCAGTCGCCTTCCGCCTCTGTTTTAGTCACCGGCTCACCAGCTGTCTCTGGTCACTGCCGCGCTGGCTCCTTCGTCCCTCCCCTCCGGCCATCTCCCAGCCCAGGTGGTCTCTCCGGCGCATACCCGAGGCCCTGGCGTCTCTGCTGTGGGAGCCTGGACTTGGGGGCGGAGGGTCCTAAAGAAGGCACCCTGAAGCTAGAGGCATGGGTCTGCTCCCCCTGTTCTCAAGGTGGTTCCAGAAGGCGCCCAGGACCTCTGTACTCTTGTTCAGTCCTCGCAAGTGCTCAAAATGGTGGTGAGCAGGAAGGAGCAGAGTGCCTGGGTGCAATCCAGGGGACCCATCTGCACCCACTAGGTGCCACGATCTTGGGCCAGTGACTTCACCTCCCTGTGTCTCATGTCGCATCTGTGAGATGGGAATAAGAAGCGCTCAGTGGTCCCTGCTCCCCGCAGGGACGGTGCTCCCAGACCCCGCGACAATGCAGCCCTGTAGACTCCATGCTTGCCGACACAGACATACCTGTGATGCTTCGTTTCTAAATTAGGCACAGTAAGAGGTGGACGACAATAACTAGTAATAAAAGAGAATAATTATACCAAGGTGCTGTAATAAAAGTTATAGGAATGTGATGTCTCTCTCAAAATACCTTATTGTCCGTATGTTTTTGGAGCACAGATAACTGAAACCACAGAAAGAGACCACGAAGGGGGGTGACCTGGTCTGTGTGCCCAGGTGGTTGGAGGGCCAGTGAGAAAGGCGAACCCCTGTGGCACCTGGTGATTGTGCCTGTGGGCTGCTCTTACTGTCTTCATTTGGCAACTGAGGCTTGAATTGCTCATGGGTCAGCTGAGAGGACTGCGCCCCTTGGATCAACACCTTTTGTGATCTCATTTGCCTACCGCCTGCTTCCTTCTGGATGATCTAACTCTTTCCAGAAATTGATGTTAATATTAAACACACACTCCTCAATGTAGGATGGGCCCTGGTGAGCCCAGGCACCAGCCCACCCATTTCACAGATGAACTGGTGCCCAGAGAGGTGTTTAGATTTGCTGAGGGTCACACAGCAAGTCAAGGGCAGGCTGGAATACCTGGCTTCCTGTCTAGACTCTTGCTGCAGGCTGGCCCATCTCATTGGTCTTCCTGTTCTGACCACAGGAGGCCAGTAGCACTGAGGATACAGCAGAGCAGGCATTCGGGGGCCAGGTAGGAAGAGAGGGACACCATCTGTCAGCAGGATGGAGGGAGAAGAGCCTGGGCTGTAGCGCCAGTTCTGTCCCATTCCCAGCCATTTTTGCTGTGTAGCCTTAGGCAGGTCAGGCAACCTCTCTGAGTCTGTTTTCTCATCCCTAACACAGGAGAGACAGGGGCAACAGCTGACCCCCCACCCAAGCACTTTTTCTCTCTCTGATAGCATCAGGCATTTCTCCTGCTCAGGCTCATCACCGCCCCCTGACCACTGTTTGGGGTGTGACATTATTGCTGTTCAGATGCAGAGACTGAGACTTGTAACTGCGACCTTGGGCAAATTCTTTAGCTGTTTTTTGCGTCAGATTCTCCACTGACGGTGGGGCCCTCCGGATCGGGGGGGCGCGGCTATAACATTATCTGCTTTGGGGCTAGTGTAAGGACCAAATGCAAAGAGTGCATGAAATGGCCCCAGCACATTGTAACATGCTAGATGAATCTTTGCCTTCCAGGGATTCCGTGGAGATTACATGGGATAATTAGATTAGAATACCTATGCAGAAGGTGCCATTAAATGATCATATTTTGCTAGGCTTTGAGAGCACAGGTTCTCACCGCAGTTGGGGCTCAGTAGGAGCTGACCTGAGAGAGACACACAGCTGGTGGAGGTGTTGCTGGGAGAAGGTGGCTGAGTCTCTCTTAGAAGGGGCTGTGGCTTCACTGCTTAGGATTCCTGGCCTCTTTCAGCCTGGGTGCCCTTGGGCAAGTCGTTTTCCCTTTCCTTCTTTGATCTGTAATGTGGGGATGATGCTATCTGTCTAAGCCTTCTCTCTGGGCTAGGGGGGTGAGGACCAAGCAGGGTTATAGTTGCACAGGTGTCGTAACCGGTGGACTGTGGGATATCTGCGATTATTATACCAAATAAGTCATCCTCAGGCCCTGACCTTTTGACTTTATTTCCCTCTCAAGGGCAAGTGCCCCAGAGTAGAATCCATGGAAATCAGCTCTCGGAATGGCAGGGGAGGTAGATAGAAATCAGACTTTAGTGAAAGGAAAATGACAGAGCAGGGCAGGCTCTAGGCCCCTGGGCCAACAAAAGGCATCTTGACCTGTGGTGACCGGCTGAGGGCTGAGTGTTGGAGGCAGAGAAGGAACACAGGGATGGCTTTGGCTGAGGGAGAGGCTCTTGGGGCAGCTGGCTTTTGGGGACAGAGAAGATGGAGAGCATCATGGGAAGCTCCAGATCCACAGAGACCAGCCGCCTCCCCAGAGCCTGTCAGGGTCTAGGTGTACCCAGGTGAGCCTGGGGCAGGTGGAGAAACCAAAAGTTCGGAGTCCTCAGGTGCCACCTTGCTCCCAGGGCAGCTGTGGGGGAGAGCTCCTTTTCCTAATGATTGGGGTTTGAAGTATTGACATATTGTCTGATGTGGTGGGGAGGGTGGAGCCCAGAATCTGGGAGGACTCCCTGGTGGGTGTTCCACGTGGGCAGAAGGAAGCTGGGGTGGTATCAGGGGTGCCCAGTGGAAGGGGCTTGAGGCCCCTGGGGTGCGGGGGCTCTGGCTTCCAAGTGCACTTGGCTGTGGAGACTGCATCTAAGTCCCATCTGGCTCTGTCTGGGTTTGATCTGAGCTGTCTGGAATCTGTCTGCTCTGAGGCTGGTTCCGTCTGAGCCTGTCTGGTTCCTCCAGGTTCTGTCTGGGATCCCTGGGACCCTCTCGAGGTTCTGTGTGAGCACCTCTGTGGATCCCACCTGGCTCCACCCCAGAGAGACACTGTTTGCATCCTGACTCGGTTTCATTTAGCCTGATAGTTAGATTCCATCTGAGTTTTGGCTGGGTTCTTTCTGGAAATCAGGGTGAACTCTGTTTAAATGTCCACTGGGGCTGATTAGAGCTCCAGCTGTAATTAAGCCTGATGGGCCCGGATTTTGCCCTCAGACTTTTGTCCCAGGCAGAGAAGAGTCTTGAGGCAGGAGTGTGTAGCTCTGGGGACCCCCCTACTCCCCCACTTTTCCCAGCTCTGAAGGCGTGTGCAGGCCTGAGGCTGGGCAAGCAGGCCCAGGGGGCCCTCCTGGATGCAGCGGGGATGCAGGTGATGTCTTTGTGTTCACAACATGTCAGTGTGCAGCCTTGCTGGGGCTCTGGGTGCGGGTGAACGTCAGCTCGTCAGCGTGTCTCCGCGTGGGTGTCCAGTGGGCCTATTTCTGTGTCCCTTGTGTGTCAGCCCTTCTGGCGGTGTCACTGGTCTGTCTGGCGGTGGCGGTGGCGGTGTGGGTGGGCAAATCCCTTTGTGTCTCTGAGCCCTGGGGGTGGAGGGCTGAGCAGCTGCAGGTTGCAACTGGGAAATCCAAGCAAGTGAGAGTAGGTGGGTGTGAAGTTGGAAGAGGCTGGATGAAAGCAAGTGAAGACACCGCGGAGAGAGGGGCAGAGCTGAGGAGGGGGTGTGAGTGGGCAGGAGGAGGACGAGGCTGCGTGAGGAAGGCCGGAGCGCTGCCTCTGTCTCCTCCAGCCCTCCCTGGGCCTGATGTGCGCTTGCAGAACTTGGCACCTGCACTGGCTGTGAAGTGACCTTGCACAGGGGACATGGCCAGGGGAGTGAAGGCTGGAGGGGAAGACAAGGAGAGTAAAGTGAGGCCTGGGCAGAAGCGGCTGTGGGTGGGCGGGAGGGTCAGGCTCTTGTGTCAGACCCCTTCTCGGAGTCCAGCCAGTTATCACAAGTCTGATATTTAACTGGTCACTCCAGTATTGAAACACTTCCCCACTGGCTGGTTAGGGGCAACTGTTCTGGCCACCAGCTGTCTCCTGGGTGACTGCACTTCCAGGCCCTCCGCTGAAAGGCTGCCCTTTGCTCACTCCCTGCACGGCATCCTTGGGCCTCTGAGACCTTGTTCCACAAGATGGCCCGTTTGTCCTGATGGGGGGGAGGGGCTGGCTCCCTCCCTGAATCTGCCACTCTGCAGACCCCTGCTCCGAGCCTAGAGCAGGGAGCATCTGGCCCGGGGTAGAGACTGCTCATGGACTCGGCCTTTCCTGCCTCCTAGGCCAAAGACAGCGATGATGAAGAAGAGGTGGTGCATGTGGATCGGGACCACTTCATGGATGAGTTCTTTGAGCAGGTAACTGAGCTCCCGGAGCCCCCAGGGCTGGAGCCTGCCCGCCCTGCCCTGCTCTCTTCTCCACTCTTGGCGCTTTGCCAGTCTCTCTGGGTCTGGCCCATTTCCCTGAGCCCTGGCTGAGCCCCCTGGATCCTCCTGCCTGGCCCAGTGACTTGGCTGAGTCTGACTGGTTTGTGGCCCAGGTGGAAGAGATCCGGGGCTGCATTGAGAAGCTGTCTGAGGACGTGGAGCAAGTGAAGAAACAGCACAGTGCCATCCTGGCCGCGCCCAACCCAGATGAGAGTGAGTGCCGGAGGCCGCTGGGGGGGGGGCACCCAGATGCCTCACCTGTCTCCTCACCTGCCTCTGCCCTCCCCTCAGAGACCAAACAGGAACTGGAGGACCTCACTGCAGATATCAAGAAAACGGCCAACAAAGTTCGTTCCAAGTTGAAAGGTAAGGAATGCCGTCTCCCCAGTTACGAGAAAAAGAAGTTTGCCTCCATTCAGCTAACCGGCTGGCCTTTCTAGAAGACCAGATTCCTAAAATAATGAGAAAGCACAAATTCCCCAGACTTTCTTCCATGTTCCAGATTCTTTGGAGAAAGAGACATGACAGGGAAGCGAGGGAGAGAAAGGTCTCTGTCCAGATTGAGCTCTGCTGGTTCCATCAGGATGAAGGGTCACCAGAAAAAGTCTTGCAAGTGGCTTTACTTTCACTAAGGCCTCGTTTTTCCAGAGCAGGTGCTGGGCATGGTTCTAAGCACCCAGTAGGTGGGCTCAGCCAACGCTTCTGAATTGGTATCCTTGGCTCAGGACAGATTGGGCTGTGTGGCTGACATCAGGGGCTGGCAAGCTTTCAAGAGGGACTTGCCAACTGCTCATGTATTCACTCTAATTTAAGGACTTGGGTGCTGGTAATAACCACCTTCCCCCAAAGCATTGTGGGTTGGGAACCTCCTTGTCTTCTGGTGCCAGGGGAGTAGCAGTGTTCCTGTGATGCTAATTTATATGCTCCTGGTAATCCAGCGTCAGAAACACTGGCTGAGCACCCACCCTGTCCAGACAAGTTTGCTGGGCTTTGGGGACAGGGAGCGCTGCCCAGCCCTGAGGGCACTGACCTTGGTCAGGGACGTGAAGATAAGAACTTCATGTCCTCCTGACCGCAGTGGGAAACCAATGGGCCTCCAGCGCTGACCTGTTAAAAACAAGCCCTTTGCACTCAGGACAGGGGGTTGCATGGGAAGTGACCTGAATGGGGAGCACATCCAAGTAGGGGTGTCCAGCTTCCACCATCAACTGATTCTGGATAGCACCCCCCCACACACACACACACAGCTTCTTCATCAGTATAGGGAGAAAATCAGAAGCAATTTCAAAGCTGACTTTTGGGGTTAGGAGAGGGGAGTAACAAAATTTTTTTTCCCAAATGAAATCTTACAAAGAGCATCAATATGTAAAACAGAAAAGTCAGGCTGGTCTGGCTAAACAGCAGTCGGGAGGCCCAGGGCCCTGCCTGCGTGGCAGTCCCTTCACTCCCAGCAACAGCCCCTGAACTTCCCTCTCTGAAGCAGGGTTCCATGGAAGTCATTAAAAATCCCTGGGCTTCTGTTCGTAGGGCCCGGAAAGCACTGACCTTAACACTCTGTGAGAAAGGCTCCCTGGTTTCAAGAGTCGGGAATATACCGCGAAAGAAGCCAGGAAGGATGGCAGTGGCAGAGAAGCTGACCTTCTAGACTCCCGTTAGAGGATTCTCTTTCTCTGGCCATCTGGTGGTGCAAACTCAGGTTCTGAATGTAACCTGAGTGAGTGGGTTAAGCCATTTGCACTTAAGTTTCTAGTCAAAGCATGGCCTGATAGTCCTGCATTCCCAGTATTGGAAAAAGTAATGAGTAAAGGACCCCTCCCTCCAGGGCTTGGTCCAGAGCGGCTCACCCTGGGCCAGAGATTTCTACACTCACCCCTCCCCCATGCGCATTCCAGTGCTGTTTTCCCCACTGCTGCTCAGAGAAGCAGGTCGCTGCGCCTGCCTCCTTGGTAGGAGTGTTGGGGTGCTATCCGGCCCCCCTACTGCCAGTGAAACTGAGACAGGAGGCTTTCAGGAATGGCCTGGCACTTGCAGGTCTAAGAGGGCCTGCATTTCTCCAGGACAGCAGGTCTTACTCAGTCTCCTTCAGAAAACCTGGGGGATAAGTCTCAGGAGTGGGCGATCCAGAAGCAGGGACCCCAGTTAATCTGAATGCTTCTCCAGAACACTTTAGAAGTGAGAATTCTTCGGATAAGGACCAAGTTGCTGGGCTGGAGAGCTGTTTTCTCTGCCAGAGCACCCAGCCACCCAACCTGGAGTCTTGTCTGGAAAGGGCAGCCGCCAGACCCAGACCCACCTGGAAGTGCCTGCCTCCCCCCCAAAAACCCCTGAGGGTTCCCGCCCTTTTTCTGAACCCGGGGAACTCCCTGTTCCTGGTATGTAGGCCACCCTCCTCCAGAAGATGGGGCCCACAGTCCCCCTGGGCCCTAGCAGGAGACACAGCTGGTCAGGAGTTTGCAAACCTCTCTCATTCCTTTCACCCGAACAGTCCCTCTTCCACAGACGAATGACTAGCCCTCAGCCTTCCCTCCACTTGCCTTCTAGACGCCCCCAAAGGTCTGACCCGTTATTCGCGAGGTCTCCCCACTGCCTCTGGGTTCTGAACATTACTCACTATTCTCGGGAGTTACCTCCCCACGGGCCTGCGGCCTGCCGCAGAGTGGACACCCTTCACACATGGCGGCTCCCCCCCACACCCGGGTCTCCCCTCACCGCGTCCTCTCTCCCGCAGCTATAGAGCAAAGCATTGAACAGGAGGAGGGGCTGAACCGTTCCTCCGCGGACCTGCGCATCCGCAAGACGCAGGTAGGAGGTGGTGGCAGGTAGGAGGTGGTGGCCGGGCGGGAGCGGGAGCGCACGGGGACCGGAGGGGCGGCCTGGAGGCGCTGGTGGGGGAGGGCGGGCCAGACGGGCGCGGGCCCCCCCCCCGGGGCGGGGAGGCGCTTTGGGCGGGCTCTTAGTGGGGGAGCGGAACTGGGTCACCCCTGGTGCCCCAACTGGTGTGGGCTTGGGGCCCGGGGTGGGGGCAGGTAGGACTGTGCCCGGCGAAGGGTGTCCCCCTCGCCAGCCACCTCGCCCCCCCACCCCTCCACTGCCTCCTCACCCGCTCGCTCTCCGCTCCCGGCGCCTGACGTGTCTGCACCCCCACCCAGCACTCCACTCTCTCGCGGAAGTTCGTGGAAGTAATGACCGAGTATAACGCGACCCAGTCCAAGTACCGGGACCGCTGCAAGGACCGGATCCAGCGGCAGCTGGAGATCAGTGCGTGTGCTTCCCGCCCCACCCAGACGGGCCGCCCTCCTTCCTCTCGGGCGGGGGGGGGAGGGGAGGGCGGGCTGGGGGGGCGCGCACCCCACCTCAGAGTCCTAGGCTGGCCAGTCCCTGCAGGGAGGTCTTTCTCTCTACAGCCGGGAGGACCACGACCAACGAAGAGCTGGAAGACATGCTGGAGAGCGGGAAGTTGGCCATCTTCACGGATGATGTGAGCCTCGGGTGGAGGCGGGGTTTGTTTTTGGAGAAAGCACTTGTCTCTTCCCAAGTTTAAGGTGAACGCCAGGTCCAGAGTTCACCCTAGAAAAACAAGAACAGGAAACCTGGACCTGGAACTTGGGGAATTCCACGAGGGCAGAGCAGGAAGGCACCCCCATAAAAATGGCAAACAATAGTGTACCCTCAGGCACTGTTTTAAGCACCTCACAAGTTTACACTTACCTACAAAGTCATTTAATTCTCTGCGCCTTGATTCCGTTGAGAAACCCGCCCCTACCCCCAGCCCCCCACAGAGGTGAGGGCGGAGTCCTCAGGATTGAACCCACCACAGGTTTCAGACTCCCAGCCACTCTCCACAGGTTATTTCACCCAGTGACTAATTTGCCTGCTTTTTGAAGACTTTTGTTTTAATCGTTGTTCCTGCTAGGAAGTTTCGAGCGCTGCCCTGCCCCCACCGTGTGCGTGCGTGGATGGGCTCCCCCGCCCCCCG